GTTATAATTTACAAACTTCAATTATTCCAATTTTGATCCCATCGATTAATCTGTCAAAGTCACTAGCAAAATAACTAATAGCGTTATTATCCTTGTGCCAAAGTGAGATTTGTCATTAATTGACAAATATTCAATTATTCAGTCTGATATAGATTTGCTATCGATTTATTCTTTGAAGTTATCACGGTTTTAACAAATTCGTTTCTTCTTATCATTCAGTCCTCCAACTTCATTTTCACATCTCTTTTGTTTATTTAATTAACACTTTTATCCTCCTTCTTTCAACATTTCCCCTTTACTTAGAATCCTATGGTCTCAATTTTCCTTTAACAAACTGCTTCACTTAAAATAAGCCTTAAGGCCAAATTATCGATAATCACTCATTTCTTCCGTAATGATCCGTTTTCCTTTAGCAAAAAATCTTTAGCAAAGATCCTTACGGCAGTGTAACATCTCATTATACTGTAAAATTTTAACGATGTCGAATATTACAACATTTTAAACCAACATTTAGTGTTCGAGTGCAATAAGTGCTGTTTGTATTAATTCGAATGTTTTGGTACCCAAGTTGAAACATATATTTAAGGTATTTCAAAAAATTTCTATTAAATTAGAAAACAAGTTTGAAGATTAGTTTATGAAACTCCATTAACAATGATAAGTTGTGATTTGAAAGTATAATAAAGCATTTGCTTTACAAAATTAAAATTTTATGCTCTAATGTTTGTAAGCAAATTCTGCTAAGGCAACGATTATAATTTCAGATCTATCAATTTTATGACGTAATAGGAAGGACGCATTAATGACAGGTTGGTGCAAACAAAAACAACCAAAAATAAGAGAACTAATATCATTGAGAGGATTGCTTTAATATCTCAAACAAATTTCATTGCCTGATTCAAATTCTGACAAATTCCATAAAATTCCATAAATTCCATAAACTGACAAATTCCATAAAAGTAATTTGTCCTCCTCCTCCCACTGGTCTCATGGGTCCTATTTCCTCTTTTTCACCTGTTCTCCAGGCGGTCGTTGCGGCCCAGGCAGTCCTTTCTGTGGGTTCTCTGCTCTCGATCCAATTGGACCTTCAGTCCTCGAAGTCCTGTCGCTTCTTTTGGTCCTGGGTTTCTTTAACTCCCATCCATTTCATCCGATCCTGGCGGTCCTCTTTAATTGCAGACCTGGAGCAAACCTTTGGAGTATTTTGCAAAAGATATTTTCATACTTGCGGGCTTACTGTGCCCTTGACTTTGCACCTGGAGCTGCACGAGGTCGTACGCAACAATGGATGCAGAATAGAAGATATATTTTCAACTTTGCCATATTTTGAAATGCAATTTTACAAAATGTATAATATTTTATTATTCTGACATATTCTGAATTACAGTGTGATTCTTAAAAATAATATAATGAATATTACGATTTCTATCAAGGATTAATTCAGTGCTTAGATGATAGATGATGAACGAGTTTTCTGATTTCATATTCTTCTTAAAGATTCTGCCTTGGACATAAATCAATGATTCATTTTAAAATTTTTCAACCATATTATTTCACACAGAATTGGTGTCTCGAAATTCGAAATTATTATATATAAATAATAAAAATAATTTATTATACAAATATCTCTCACACAAGTGATTCATCGCATAAAACGTAATTTGATGAATATTACAATGTCTTCTGTGATGAATCATCTCATATCTTTTTTTGATTACTATGTTTATCTTTACTAGAAACTAATTCTCATGTAAATGTCTCCGTATTGTAATCAGTCATGCTTCAAGCGTCAGGTCCTCTTTTGCACAGTTTTTCATTTTTACGTCCACGCACCTATTCTTATATGCAATAGGATTTTATAGAATGTTCGTTATAAACCACTCTCACCCTGCGTATAGATAAAAAAGATAGGTCAGTCTCATAATCTGAGGGACGTGAGTTAGCATTCACCGCTCCTCCACTATTAATTCCTCAATATTTCT